AAAACTCTGGGCATGTTTTTGATTAGAGTATAACATTATAACATGATATAAAGCTCAAAAAAGTTGATTTTACATGGTATTGCTCCTTTAAAAGGGCAGTACACCTCAGATCCCGATGCATTGGCCACAATGTGTCCACAAGACAGATCTAAATTTGTCCGAGGACCCCGCCCAGTATCTGGACCAGAGGACTGTCACAGTTTCAGGATAAAGTTTAGTGGGTCAGTGGGGCTGGAACAGCTGAAACAGGATGATTAGACCTCCTTGATGTAGTTATATTATCCAATGCCACTCATTCTGATTCCTTCATGTTCATTAACCTGTCAGAACTAAAGTTTAAAACCAACTCAACAGTTTTTTGTTCACAACCAAAGAGTCTATGTTGTAAAGCAGATCTCTGTTGTTGAGCACCTTGTCAGTGTTTTGTCTCCTGATGAAGAGACAGAAGTGAAWGAGCTGCAGTGTCTGACTTAGTTTAACTTCAGTTGTTTCTGAACAATCTGATAACCTTTTCTCTTGAAACAGTTATTTATAGCTTCCCCTAGACCTTCTTTTATTGCACTAAAGTTCAGCTTGATTAGTGTCCCGCTTTGTKTTGTGGCATCACCATGGTAGCACAGTGCTTCGTGTGGGTGGGCTCTTTGTGGTTTTCCRTTGTGTGTTGCTCTGTGAGTCGGTGCTGTGGTTTGCACCAACTTCAGATCATCCACTCGGTCCATCTGGACCAGTGGGCTGCTGTATAAACACCAAGCCAAAGGTTCTGCAGAGCCAGTGTCCTGTGGAGAGCTGGCACTAACACATGTTCCAGCTGATGAACTCACAAGTGGACAGCTTTAAGTGTTCACACCTGGCTTTAAATGGCTTTGGATCAGATGTCAGTTACCCAGTTTGACACTCCTCAGTTACTCATCGTTATATTGCTCTTTTATACCCCATGGTTCTGATGAGCAGTAATCGATCATGTGCTTATAACACAACCCAGTTTCTAAAAGAGTTCAGACAATGTCTAAAACCTCAGAAAAACAGAAAGCAATGATTTGAAAATCTCATTAAAGTAAATGAAATAAACAAATGGAGCTCGTTTCATCTTTCCCACTCATTCTGAGGGTGAATATAACTGAGAACATGAACTTTTGTTTCTTTAAAGATGTATTTTGGTAAAACATGAACAAACAGGCCATGCTGTTGGAATGGAAGCAGTATGTGGTTTAGCATTATCTTACTGTTCCTGAAAAAGGCAATACCTGAATGGGAACAGATTTTTTTCTAAACCCTGTACAGTACATTACTTACTTTGACTTGGCTACATGTGATTCAAGCAATGAAGTTTCTTTTTTAATTAGAGCCAAAAAACTACAGTATGTGCAAACTGACCTTATCTGAGACATGGCATTGTCCACCAACAAACTGTAGAATAAACCAACAAACTGTAGAATAAACCAACAAACTGTAGAATAAACCAACAAACTGTAGAATAAACCAACAAACTGTAGAATAAACCAACAAACTGTAGAAT